ACAGGTTTAAAAATTCATCTGAAAGTCATTATTTATTTTTGCTTTTAGTTTTAGTTTAGCATTTGTGCAATATCTGTTGTAAGCTGATATGTCCTCACAATGCCTCCAAATGGTTTGTGCCCATATAATTATCCTTTATACCCATATTTTATGGTTGTCTTTTCTGTAACATATATTTCTGTATTTTAGTTTACTTTAAAATCCTAAGCTTTTAGCATTTTTATGGATACCCAATAAATAGTAGTTATTTAATAATGAGGAAAAAACATGAATAAAAGGGAAAATACATATAAATACAGTTCTAATTTGTGAAATTTAGGCAGATGTTAAAGTCTGACAACAATGTTTATTAAGTCAATGATTTAATGGTGAAAGAGAAACGATAATTAATCTGTATTCTAAAGGTCACAATTGCTGGTGGCAAGATGCACACAAAATAGAATGTGAAATTGCCTGGCTTGTGTTTTCACTTCTGAGACAGGCTGTTTCTTGTATATGCTTCTAGAAATGTACATTTATAAATATATATTTAGGGAATATGTTTGTCTTTTTGTTTCTCTGCAGGTAGGATCATATGACATAGTATTCTGGGGCTTTTCTCATTTAACAATTATCCATTCATAATAATAATAATATAATTAATTGTGGTTAATATTTATTATGCCAGGCACCATGCTAAACACCTTTATGTGTATTATTCTTTGGATGCTCATAAGCCATTGACAGGTGAAGACGCTAAGAAACAGAGAGGTTAGGAAACATGCCCAGGATCCTGCAAGCTAGTCAGTGTGGACCTGGGCTTTGAGCTCAGAGGGGTTACTGTAGAGCCCAGGTGCTCAGTCAATCTGTTTCCCCCTCTGGAGCACTGCGAGGATCTTCTATGCCAGTCTGCACATACAACAATGTGCCCTCTTCAATGGCTGCTGGCATGTGCCTTCAGTTCCTTCACATCTGTTGTTTCATTCCCATGCTCTAGGGACTTCAGCTGTCAGGGTCTGCATCTCTTTGAGCGCTTTCTTCAAAGTACCAGAAATAAGCTTGGCATCAGGTACTCACTAGCCACCCCCAGGTGTCCTCAACCAGTGACGTAAATACCCCAGCTCCCTTGCCCTGGGCAGGATAACTCTGAGATGTGTATCGTGCACAGACTTCCTGGGTTCCCCTCAGGGTTAAGTTCCAGTGGTCTGAAGTGGCAACTGACTTGAAACTATACCTTTCTTGGCTGCCTTCCCTTCCCCATGGCATTCTCTGTTTCTTATCTGTCCCCCCTTTAGTTAAACGAAATGTTTGTATTGAGTCCTCGTGCACTGTGTTATTTTCCGGGGCACCCCAACTGTGGCAGGCTGTGTGATGCTTCATTGGTGAAGGTACTGGAATTTATTTGCTCAGTATCCAGTTAATAGAGTGCCCCAGAATTTCCAGTCTTTCCTGCTATCACAAGTGGTGAATATTCTTACATTATTGTTAGGGAGCTCCTGCCATGGACCTCTTGCCTCAGGGCTCCTCCCCCCCCCCCCCCCCCCCCCCCCCCCCCCCATCTCCCTCCTGGTGTTTGGACCTGGCCAAGGCCAGAAGCACTATCTAAGGTGACACCCCAAGTGCAGACTAGGACTGGATGAGGCTCAGTTACCATTTCTTCCCGTTGGGGTGCGCTCTGACCCTCTATCCAATGTGGGGTTGACCATGAAGGAACTCTGGCTTTCATGCTATGGGCTGGCCTAAGGCTTCATGGCTGTGCCCTGGTTTCAGGAGGGTGGCAGCTTAGCAGAATCCTGCCATTTGCCCACACAGAGTCTCCTTCATGGGATCACATGATATTGGGTAACCAGAATGGAGATGGAGTGCTGATTTCAGGTGACTCAATTTTTTTATATAGATGGGACTCTTTAAGAAATATTTTGTCCAGAACCTTGCACTTCTAAGGGTCAGCACTGTATTAACTCTAGAAATTTAAGAGTTCTGATCTGAACAGATAGTTCCTAAAGTCCTCCAAGCTTTTCTGCTCACATATCAAGATTTACTTGTTCATCAAATGCAGGCATCCATGTTGTTTTGTGGGGCAAAAAGATATAAAATAATTTTTCGGAAAGAATTTAAGGAAGCATAAAAAAATTAAATCTTCAGAAAGAATTTAAGGAAGCATAAAAAAATTCAGGCAAACATCCTGGCTTCAAATAATACCAAGAGTGTTTTCAAACTGTAAGGAAATACAGCTTGTGCTCTGAATTGTGTTGGCCAAGCTTAGCTCATTCAACAACATAGTGCATGGTGTAATGTGGCCAAATCATCTGGTATTGGTGAAGGTCTTGTATAAACTCCTTATTATAAAGCTTCCTTTTATTTTTTGTAAGGGTATTATCTTAAGATTGCAAAGCAAGTTATTTAAAAATCATATGATAAAATCATAAGATTCTCTTCACTGATGTCAAATAAAGACAGAGAATGAACGTTGAGACTAGGGGAGTTATTTAGAAACTCTGATTCTAAGTACTTTGGCACTTTCAAATAGCCCCTTTGTTCTCATCATTGATTAGCTTATCAAAAGTAGATAAGTGTGAGTGTATAAAACAAATGTATATAAATTGTGAAGATTACATTTGATAAAATTGCTTTTTCAAAGCTCAAACATCACTTTCCTAATCCTACAGGGCCGAAGTAACGGTGTCTGAGGTGGATGGTGGTTAGGCTTGGACGCCAAACCTATAGGCATAGTCACTGCCAGTCCACCTGCCCCTTATTTATTTGAAATAAATTTCTTCTGCCAAAGGCTGTGGTAGTTGATAGAATAAACTGCTGAGCAAACATCTCTGCCCTCGTGGTGTTTATATCTCACTGGGGAGGCAAGTATTACAGTGATGAACAAATACCTCATTTAATGCTATGAAATGCTGAGGTGTTAAGAAGGAAATGTCACGATGGAGACTAATGGAGTGGGTAGGTTGGAGAGCTTCCTTCGCTGGGAGAGTCAAGGAAGCCTCTGAGGAGATGGCACCCGAGCTGAGATCCAAGTTGTCTCAAGTTGGAGAGGAAGAGCAGCCAGAACAAAAGTGTATGCCAAAGCCCTAAGATGGGAGGAACCACGTGGCTGGAAAGTAGGGAGCGTGGGGGGTGAGCACACCAAGTGAATGCAAGCAAATTAGAAGGCCTGGAAGGGAAGGGGTGTGCTGTCTACTCTAAATACAGTAGAAAGACAAGGAAGGGTTTTTAAAGCAGGGCAATGCCATGATCTGATTTTTGTGTTAATGTCACTCTGGTTGCTCTGCAGCGAGAGCTGGGAGGAGGGCACGAGGAAGCTGGGAGACCAGAGCCATTGTCCCACCGATGCTGGCCCAATGGAGACAGGGAGGCAGGCGAACTTCTGATCCATTTTAAAAGGAAAAATAATGAGTAGGTAGTAGTGGATTAAATTGAAACATGACAGAAGAAAGAATATTAAAGTTGACTGCCAGGATTCAGGCTTGAAGGACTGGGTAGATAGGAAAGGTAGGTGAGGGGTCAGAGTTGGGGGTGGGGGGAATCAAGATTCATCATTTTTATCATTTTGAATTTTTTTTCCTTCCTCTCTCCCTCCCACCCTCCCTCCCTCCCTCCCTCCATGTCTCCCTCCATGTCTCCCTCCCCCTTTCTTTCTTTGTTCATGCTTGCTTTTTTTAAAAGCTAGAGGTACCATTGAATCCAAGGAGATATCCAGAAGGCAGCTGGATGTTATCATCTGGAAGTTAGAGTCTTCTGAGCTGAGACATATAAGTGGGATGTTAGAATCCATGACATTTAAAATTACAGTCCTGGAGGGAATCCAGTGTGTAGGGATTGTGGAGAAGGAGAAAGGAGAGAGGAGACTGAGACAGAGAGGACAGAAATATCATTAGGGCCCAGGGGTTATGCCTCATATCCCAAACTTCCTTAGGCTAGAAGAGAACAAGTGATAGATTTGCAGCTGCCTGTGCTAGACAATAGCTGAACATTAACTCAGCAGGTCTGCCCATACAAATGCAACCAAGAGCAGGCAGAGAAGGAAGCAGAGAGAGAGCTCCTCATCTTTGGGCCAGAAATGTTCCACTTTGAGTTCAGAGAGAGAAGTGAGCTCAAGAAGTTTTTTCACTGAAACAAGAGGTGGCCTTTTCATTCGTGGAAAGTTGGATAGCATAAATGTAATGTGACGTGGAAAGCCTGATTCCAAATCATGACTAAGACATTAGGTAAAAGCAGCCACAAAGAATTTTTTTTTTTAATTTGTGGACAGACAGATCATTAGTTATTTGTTTCTGGTTTTGTTTTTTGAGTTGGGTTTCACTCTGATGCCCAGTCTGGAGTGCAGTGGCACAATCATGGATCACCACAGCCTTGACCTCCTGGATGCAGGCGATCCCTCCACCTCAGTCTCCTGAATAGCTGGGACTACAGGCACACTACACCCAACTAATTAAAAAAAAATGTTTTTTTAAGAGAAGAGGTCTCGCTATGTTGCCCAGGTTGGTCTCAAACCTCCTGAGCTCAAGCAATCCTCTCGCTTCGCCTCCCAAAGTTCTGAGATTATAAGCATGAGCCACCATGCCCAGACAAGCTATTTGAAGTAAATAAAAGATCTAACAGTTTCCCTTGCTCTTAACTTATATCACAAACAGAATGGTAATAAGACTTTGATTCTTCACGAAACAACCTCAGATCTATAAATGTCATTAACAGAAAGAAAATGGTAAGATAACTAGAATTAGTTGACTTATGTGTGTCCATATATATGCACACAAACACTGCACATATACATAACGTATGGGTATACATATGCGGTAGTTAAAATTTATCATACACCTTAAATTCAGATTGAAAAAGTCAATATCACTGTTTCTCATTTTTGTATTAAATCAATCATTTGTGTTTCTATTATTAGAGTTTGCTCAAATATAATTTTCCAGTCTTCTGTAGGCCCAAGTGACAATATATCTGTATTAGAAGACACTAGTTAAGAACTCCCCCTCTTTCTTTCCAATCTTCCTGCTCAGGGTCAACCGGGACCACCAGGACCACAAGGTCCAATTGGGCCCCTGGGACCCCGAGGACCCACTGGGATTCCAGGAGAGAAAGGAATGAGAGGAGACAGTGGCCCTCTTGGGGCAGCAGGGTACAAAGGAGATAAGGTAAGCTGCTCTTAAGCGAAGATGCACATGAATGACTCATCAGCATTGCAGCACTGGTTTTTATAGTCACGAGTAGTCTGTACTTATACTTTTTAATAAATTAAGTCTGAACTCCTCTGCCACAATCCATCTCATTCCCAGACCTTTTCCAGAGGTACATGTCCTTTCAGTTTCTTCTATACACATAAATATATGTGTGTACCCAGGGAGGAGATATATTGTTTCATGACCTTTTAAAAAAAGCTGCAAAATATTGTATGTATCACAGTGAGCCTTTCTTTTTTCACTCAATATGTCTTAGAGACTGTTCCTTATCTGTTTATGTAGATTGAGTTTATTCCTTTAAAAATATCATACAATATGCCATAGTGTGGATAAAATAATAGTTTATTATTCCCTGTGGATGCAGATTGAGATTCTAACCCAACTTTGTGTTGTGCAAGCATGCAAAAACAATATATTATACATACCTGTGTTCACATTTAAGGGTTTGTTATTTTAGGATAGACTGAAAAGTTGAATTTTTGACATATAGCATGTTATATGTTTTATTCAAATTGGTACTGACGAGTCACCCTTCTAAATACACAAAAAGTACACAAAATTGATTCTTAAACATTGGCTTTTAAACTCATCAGTGTAAGAATAGGTGACAATGACTGCTAAATGTGTTTAAATATGAGTCTTTATTAATATTTTCAATTTAATTAGCTTGTTAATCTAAGAATTTGACAATTTTTATATATTTATTTTCTTTTCTGGGATTTTAGGGTCCAACTGGTGTTCCTGGATTTCCAGGTTTGGATGGCCTACCTGTAAGTATCCCTAAATTTTCCCTATTTTTCTTAAAGAAGGGAGTAGTTTTCATCAAATTGCTTAAAACCTCATGTTCTCTCTCTCTCTCTCTCTCTCTCTCTCTGTGTGTGTGTGTGTGTGTGTGTGTGTGTGTGTGTGTGTGTGTGAGAGGGGGG